GTATCAACACTCATTTTAAAGTCTGTAATCCTTTGAAGATGCATGTACAGTGGCAAAGTTGGAAGCCACACTCTTTTTGTGAACATGTTGCCGCTAGGAACTGTGGACTGTGGCCACAAAATCCCCCTCCCCATCTCCTTGGGAGTAAAAATACCACAGTAATAGAATAACAATAATGACTAACAAATTGCTGCCTTGTCAACAGAAATCGCAGAGATGGTTGACCCACTTTGCCTAACAGATGGGTTGGATTCAGATGGCTCTTTGAGCATTTCCTAATGGATGTAACTGATGCGATAAGGGAAATAAACTTATGGATGAAATTTGAAAACTTCACATATTGGGACTAGGGCTCACATTCTGATAGTGGCTTGTGTGTGCATAAGTCACCTGTCAACTTACAACGAATCAATGAATTTCATAAGGTTTTCTTAGGCAAGGACTACTCAGAAGTGGTTTTGCCAGTTCCTTCCTCTGAAATATAGCCTACAGCAGCTGGTATTCCTTGGTGGTCTCCCATCCAAATACTACATGAGTTGACTCTGCTTAGTTTCCAAGATCAGAAGGGATCTGGTGCCTTTACAGTATTTAGGCACATGGTAGTGACTTTGTTGCTGTTGTGTGCCTTCCAAGTTATTTCCGACTTAGAACAACCCTGAGGCTGCCTATCATGGCCTTTTCTTGGGAAGTTTTGTTCAGAGGGGGTTTTCCATTGTAATCCTCTGAGGCTGGGAAAGTGTAACTTGCCTAAGGTCACCCACTGGGTTTCATGGCTGAGCTGGGAATCAAACCCTGATCTCCAGAGTTGTAGTTCAACACTCAAACCACTACACCACACTGACTCTCTGATAGTAACTTACACATGCATAATTTCCCTTATGTATGTAGTTGTAGTTTTTTGGTCATGGCATAGCATCTGTATTCAATTGAAGGCTCCAGAAGCAGAAGTGAACATATGATTCTGTTGCACATGTGGTGCCATTGTGCACTGCACACGCAGGTGCACATAAGCAGCTTCATTTATATACCGCTTCATACCGCACTATGGGGTGTCTAAGCGGTTTAAAACTGTAAGCTCATTGCCCCCCAACAGCTGGGTACTCATTTTAGCGACTCGGAAGGATGCAGGCCTGAGGCTAGCCTGAGCCCTGGCCAGTATTGAAGTCACAACCTTGTGGTGCCGATGTGCCCTGTGCATTGCAATAATGGGTTTCACATTTCTTTTCCCGTTCGTTTGTGCAGTGATGCGAGTCACTATTGTACAAACATCACAAAAGCCCTTGAATGCAAAGTTACACTCTATCTCCTTGATGCCTCCTCCTTTAACGCCCAGAATCTCCAAGCCAGGTGGGGGATAATGGGAGCTGCAATCCAAAATGTAGGTTTCCAAGTGCTGCTTAAGGCTCCATGTCATTTCCACACAGACCTCTATGTAAGTTTCTATCATTTCCCTCCTCTTCTTGAGAACTAGGCACAAAAGATTTGGTGCCGGTCACTTTGGAGTGGATGGTGTCTTCCCTTTTGTTCTCATTTCCCCCTTCAAAGCCTTTCCCCCCTTCTTTGTCTTTGCACCCCACATGCTCTCACTGCAAGGAAACCTCACTGTAAATCCCAGACCATAATTAGTCTGAACATTTGCTCTCTTGCCACCACCCTGCCAAGCTGACAAGGGCTTTTTGATCCCTGTCCTCTGCAATTTGGGACAGTCCTGTGTTCAAAGGGCTCTCCCTTCCTCACCTTCCTGGTTCCCTCCTCTGTCAGATCGCCTGGGAAATGGCTTTCCTCCAACGTCACTTTTAATTTTTACATTTGTAGTTGTTCAAAAATAAAATACTGGCACAGCACTGAAGCACAGAGTGGCGTGTTGGGATGGTTTAAAATCCTGTATCAAAGTAAATCAAGTTTTGACCCAAGAACTTTGTCAGAGCTTAGAAAACCGAGGTGGAGTTTTTGGACTACAATTTCCAGGATGCCCTAGCTAGTATGGTCACTGGTAGGTGGGGATGATGGAGGCAGTAGTCCGATATATAGAGAGGGTGCCCATTGGGGAAGGCTGGCCAAAGGAGCCAAGTCAAGTCAGGTTTGTTGGCTATTATATCATTAGATGCCATGAAAGCTTTCAGTTGTCTTCATCATAAATACTTGTTGTTAGAACTATTTTTTAAAAAAATTAATATGGGAACTATTATTGAAATATTATATGAAGAATCAAAAGCAACAGTGTGTGTGAATGGAATAGATTCCAAAATATTTCCTTAACTCAGACGAACTTGGCAAAGGTGTCCACTTTCTCATACTATTTGCATTAGTGACAGAGCAATTACCAGAGTTAATAAGAAGAGAGATTCCAGTTCAGGGCGTAAAGTTTGGGAATACGGAGCATAAAATAAATCTATTTGCTGATGATAGTTTGCTATTTCTATCCAAGCCAACGAAAGGAAGGTGATAAATATTTTAAAGCAATTTCAGGAATACAGTTGGCCCTCCACATTTGGGACTTTGACTTTTTCGGATTTGATTATTTGCAGTTTTGATTAATATGTTCTCTCTAGGAATCTCGAGGTCCTCCAGCGCAATGCTGCCAGATGTTGACCATAGAGTTGTGCTGGAGAACCTAGAGTTCTTAAAGAAAACACTTCTCTAGGCACTTGTAGGTCCTCCAGCATGATTCTATGGTCAACTTCTGGCAGATCTTGCACTGGAGGATCTGGCAATTGCCAGAGAAGTGTCCTCACAGGTAAAAAGAATAGTGGTGTGTGGGGGAGGTTATTTGCAGTTTTCCACATTCACAGACATCCTTCACCCCTAAACCCAGCAAATGTGGAGGGATCACTGTATATAGGCCTTAGAATAAATGAAGAGAAATAAAAAACGTTGAATGTGTGACTTGCTCAAGGTCACCCAGTGGGTTCCCATGGCTAAATCGAACCCTGGTCCCCAGAGTCCCAGTCCAGTTTGACACCACTTTGACTGCTGTAGCTCCATCCTGTGGAATCCTGGGACTTGTAGTTTTACATGGTCTTTAGCCTCCTCTGCCAAAAAGTGCTTGTGCCTCCTAAAACTATAAATCCCAGGATTATGTCGAATGGAGCCATGGCATTTAAAGTGTTGTCGAACTGCACTATTTCTACAGTGTTGATGCATCCTAAATTGATGAATTACTGGTACAGTCACTGGCTCATGGTACAGATGACATTCTCCTCCAGTCCACCTTGCCATTGCCTCAATGGAGCACAGTGCAGCAACAGCACAAGATGCTACACAAGCCAGCACTTGAACCGTGTGATCTTCCTCCTCCAGCATAACTGGAAAAATAAGTAAGAGTTATGGTTATATCAATGTGAAATTATCCCTCATTAAGGGCCTGTCTGGACTGGCTGAAAGAGTTAGATAACCTCATGAGTAAAATTATACCTCATTATGCCAAATTAAACACAATGGCTAAGATCCTACATTGGAGTTGTATAGGGTCAATTTTAAAATGCTGAGTTGCATGTGGGTCATCCTATTTGACCTTGTGTTGAATGGCAACATAGCAAAACTAAATGCACAGTCAAATGCACATCCACATGGTAAATGGCATGGCATGGCATGCCATGGTATCACAGTGTTACAACTGGGTGGTGTCAAAAAGACACCGGTCCTTGCTGAAATTTAATCCCTCCTTGGCTGCATCTGCACTGCAGAAATAATGCAATTTGATACCACTTTAGCTGCCATGGGTCAATGTTATGGAATCCTGGGATTTGTAGCTGTGGAGCCAACACTCTCTGACAGAGAAAATTAAATATCTCTCACAAAATTACAGATCCCAGAATCCCATAGCACTGAGCCATGGCAGTTAAAACAGTGTCGAATGGCATTATTTCTCCATTATTATTTATTATTATTTTATTATTCTGCATTATTTCCGCAGGGCAGATGCAGTCCTTGTCACGGCTGGAGACTTGGGGAAACTCCAACAGAAAAGGAGTGGAAAGGGATGGAGAAATAAGAGAGGGGGGAAAAGAGAAGAAAAACAGTCCCAGAAGATTTCTCAATATATATATAATCCAGTTTGTCTCTCTCTCTTTTTTTTGGAGAAAACATCCTGGTCCCCACCCAGTCTACTGGAATCTGGAATCTCATGACCGAGCAGCTGATTTAGGAAATTGGATCCTTTGCATTTTGCTTGCTTGCTATTTTATGAGGACCAGATGTGGGGAGAAAGGAGGAAAAAAATTCCCCCAGAACACCAGCCTCCTCCTCTCTTCCAGGAGCCACTCAGGACTGTGGAATGTATTTCATTTCAAAGCTTCCAGACTGCTCAGCTAATTAATCCCTTTATATTGTCAGGGGGGGGGCATCATGCGCAGCCCATGATGGAAAAGGGGCTGATGTCACAGGTCCATTTCTTTTTCATGTCTGGCAGATGGTAGGCTGCAAAGGTCTGGCTTAGGCAACTTTACTCCATACTTGAGGACTTTGTGGGTGACTTGGATGTGTGAATCGGCCTCCTGGGTCAGACACCCGAGAGAAAACAACCACATCCACCCAAATGCAATGTTTTTAAGCGGAGAACGTTTGCCTTTTCTATCAATTATCACCAGGATGACATCTTCTCCCTTTTATCTCACACCATTGACTGCCTTCTCTGATACTTTAGTTGTTGCTGCTGCTGCTGCTTGCTTTCAAGACTTTTCTGACTTATGGCAATCCTAAGACCATGAACCTTGGCAAGATTTGTTCAGAGGGGGTTTGCTATTGCCATCCTCTGAGGCTGAGAGAGTGTGACTTGCCCAAGGTCACCCAGTGGGTTTGATGGCCAAGCTGAGGACTGAACCTTGGTCTCCCTAGTTGTAGTCCAACACTCAAACCACCACACCTTTCTATGTCCACAATTATGCTGGCTGGCTTTATTGTTGCTGTTGTTGTTGTTGTGTGCCCCATCTCGTTTCCAACTTATTGCAAACCTGACGCAAAGCTATCACAGAGATTTCTTGTCAAGATCTGTTGAGAGGATTTGCCATTGCCTTTCTCTGAGGCTGAGAGAGTGTGACTTTCCCAAGATCACCCAGTGGATTGCTATGGCCAAGCAGGGGTTCACAATTTCTTCTTTGGTCTTTAAACAGAGGCTGGATGGCCATCTGTCAGGGATGCTTTGATTGGGAGTTCCTGCATGGCAGGGGGTTGGACTAGATGGCCCTTGTGGTCTCTTCCAACTCTATGATTCTATTATTCTAAGTTCCCTTATGTATGGAAACAATTGTATATTTTTGTCCCATATGGAACATCCACATCAGGTTCTAGGTCACACATGTGGAGTTGCACATGTGCATTGGGTTGAGGTCAAAGAGCAAACGTTATATATTATATATTATATTATTTAGATAAAATGTAGAAAAGTAAGGATTATATACTGAGAGTTGAGATAAGAACAAACAGAGGAGATGGATGAAAGTAATAGCTAATGAAACATTAACAATAGTAAAAAGAGTTATGGAAGTTACTTTATGTTAACTTATTTATTGTGTTTGTTTTTACTTGCATGTTCTAATGTTTGTTATAATGTCCATACAATATGTTATGTCTCCTTTTAACAGATAAAGTATTTTATTTCAATAAAAAGAAATATCTTTTTTAAAAAAAGAGAGGAGACGTTGTTTACACACTATTAACTCAGCAGTGGGAAGAGCAATGATGGGCAGAGTCTTGCCCTTCTCTGTAGACTCAGGCAAAAGCATACTGCTGCAGCCTGCCCTAGCTTGTTTGCTCTTCCTGCTTTGGCCATCTTGACCATACTCTCATCTTGCTCAGCCAAGATGTCCTGGTTTTCATCTATGAAATGTTGGAAGACTAGGTC